CCCCCCCCCCCCCGCCTCCCTCCCGTCGTTCCAGCCTCCGACCCCCTCACCGAAATCTCCCTCCTTGAGGCAGCGGGAAGAGCGCAGGGTCGAGCGCGTGAAGACTTCTCTTCAACGGTCCTCCAATGGTCTCCTCCGTCACCCGGAAATCAGGTTCGGACTCGACCACCATCATGCGCTATGAGGTTCGAATTGAAGGAAGGAATTTTCACGCGGGACGCGGGTTTTTCACGCGGGATGCGGGTTTTTCCGCAGCCGACTCACCAGTGTGCCGGAGAAAAGAAACCAAGACGACAACAGAGAAAAACACGAAAACCAGGGGTGCGAACCGGCCGGCAAGGTGCAGGTCCTTTGGTGTATGCCTGCCGCGAAGAACGTGCCGGGAAATTTCCGGGTCGAGATCAAGAACAGCGTCCTGCGCAGGAGGGGACACTAGACCCCGAAGGGTCCGAAGTGGTGACGAATCAAATGTCAAAACACCACAGCAGGGAACCCCGGTCTACAAGCCCCCATCCTGTGCGGTGCAAGCACGGTGACACAATGGGACACTCTACCACCCTTTCCCGCCCGCCCTTCCAGCCTGCGAACCCCCCCCCCCAACCACGGTTCCACACACCTCGTACATTTCGTGCCCTCGGCTCTCCCACTGATTGAGAAAGTCGTCCGCTCTAGGCCTAACCACCACGGGTACGCCGCCCCTCCCGCCCGCCCTTAGAAGCCCGTCCAGAAAACCTTGCGCCGACAGCTGCGTCCGGCGGTAATTGGTCGAGAACACTTCCAACCTGGAAGTGATATGCACGGCTGGGGAGATAATTTCTTTTTCTGGTACGATAGCAATCATACGTCCCCCGTTTGCCACGCGATGTCTAAGCATGAGTGGTTCCACTCAACACCTGCTATACCAAGGAACTGTGGTGCGGTGGTGACTTGGTGCTTTAGCGGTAGTTGTTGTTGTTGTGGTGATTGCAGCATCAGCAGCAGGCATGGTGTTTTCCTTTTTCCGTTGTACCAGATCTCTCACTTTGCGTTGTCGATGTCGTCACAGGAGTAAAGTTGCCTGAACTGCTCTCCCCTATCTCGAAGCTGCTGCAGCCCCAATGACGTCAGGCAGCCGAACGGTGCGGACTCCTGTTCTCTCCACCGAAGCACACACACCAAACATGCCAGAGTAGTAGCCGTGAACAGCAAAAGATGAGCGATGACCGTCGATCAACACGTGAACTATCCCATACTTGAAGAACAGAGACGAGAAAAACAACAACGGCTGCAACAGCAAAAGCAGCAGCAGCAGCAGCAGCAGCAGCAGCAGCAACAACAACAGCGACAGCGACAGCAGGAGAAGAAACTCGGGCAACAGCAACCCAACAACGCTCCCCGAAGGTCAACGTTTCACAGAACACAGCAAAAACAGCTGACCGCAATAACACAGCAAAAACGGCGATGACGACAACAACAACAACAACAACAACAACAACAAACGCGCCTCGTCAGGCGGAACTGCCTCCCCGGGCGAACGCTTGACCGGGTAAAGCTCGTCGAGTTTCCGGACCACCTCCGGCGGCACCAGCTGGCCCCTCCAAAAGTCCTCTGCCGATCTCGCCGGCGCTGCTACCCGCGCGGCTTTCTCCGAACCCCCGCCGTCTCCTGTACCTGTCACGTGGAAATATAGTAACAGCCCTGTTTCCATCAACAGGCATAATGTCGACGCGCAGCGTTTCTGCAACCAAAAAGATCCTGTACTTGCTCACAGCGGGTCTGCAACTGCTTCGTCAACCCGTCACTCGAACAGGCTTCAAACTCGCAAGCGTCAATCTGTTCGTGGTGCCTCGGCCGAGGGGTTTCGATTACAGGGAGAGGCTTTGCCGTGTTTGACGGGGGGCGTCACCCAACAGGACTACTGCAGCAACAGCCCTTTGTTGTTCTCCGCCCTTACCGACGGCGCTGCCGCCGCTGGTGCTTCCTGGTGCTGCTGCTGCTGCTGCTGCTGCTGTCGGCAAAGCTAGCTCCTCGTCTGGCGTGTGTCCACGCAGAGGCGACCTGTCTCCATGTCGATGGAACACTAGCAAGGAAAAAGGGCTGGAGGGGGGACCGCGTAGGGGCGCGTGGGCGGGGGGGGGAGGGTAGGTATATTAGGACGCATTATTGTTTCCAGACAAACGAGCTGGATCACGGTCAAGCTATCTTAGGCATATTGTATCAAGACCTGTCGTCAATGGTACTCCAAATGGATGCACCTATATAGACACTCCGAGTTTCTACGAGCGCGGCTGCGCGATATGGCGCTACGGCTAAAGCACATCCGTGGAAAACTTTGTTCTAGGTCAGGGCCGGAGAAAGTGTCGGTCAACAACCATAAGAGTACTTGGTACAAAGGCGGTTGCTCATGTTTCATGTCCCACAGCGACAGGCCTGAAAGCGCAAGGTTGTGTCACAGCAGACAGCATACAGTCGACCCCGCTTTACGGACGCTCGCGCTAAGCTCCCCGCTTTAAGGAAACCTTCTTTTGAGCACCAGGGGGCCCGGCAGAATGTACGAGAACAGGGTACCCCCTGTTGTCTGCCGCCTACCCCCCTCCTTTTTGCGTCCTGCGGGCCGCTCTTTGCACCCACCACGCACCACATTGAGTGCAGAAGTAGCGATGCACAGACAGCAGAAGTAGCGAGCGGTCTGCTGCTGCAGCTGTAACAGGGTGTTGGTATTATGGATAGATTCCTCCCATCTACCGGCGGTCCATCTGATGCCGCCAAAAAAAAAGTCGTGCGCAACCTCGTCCTTCACCGCGGGCGAGATTATCTCTCGCTTGGAGGACGTTCGATCCAATTTATACGCGAAGGGAAGGGAGGGGTGGAGGGTACCGTGAGACGCAGTACCTTCTTTCGAAGACCGTTCATTCGTTTTCTCATGAAACTCAACAGAGCCGTAGAGCCAAGCCGCGGGGGGAGGTTCAGGGAACTCTTCGCGATATGTATGTGGAAGGAAAAGCCATCCAGGTAGCCTTCGGTCTCCGCCGGGACAGTGACATGTACTGGTGTTCCTCGGTGCGACGCTGGAATACGCTCGTTTGTTTTTGTTTCACAAGAGTGAGATAAATATCTGTCAACTTGAACTTTCCTCCTCCTTCCGCTGCCGGCTATGCAGTACATTAGTTGGCCAAGTACAAACTGGTNCAAGCCGTTAGGGTAGCTTTTGGTTTCCGCCGGGACAGTTATATGTACTGGTGTTCCTCGGTGCGACGCTGAAATACGCTCGTTCTTCTTTAGTTTCACAAGAATGAGATAAATATACCGTAAACGTCGGAGTTTTCCCCCCGGGTAGGGGAACGTTATTTTTCTGAAACCAAACCCCTCGGGGGGAAATTGACGTACCGGGGGTTGGGGTGTACTCATACTCATAGTCGTGCATGCCGTAGTCGGTAGACCATTGACCTCGCATCCCTACAAAGCCGGGACGGAGCACGCCGGGTTCTCACCGGACCAGGCTCTCACATCACCAAGCGAGAAGCGCCGTGAGGTATTCCGCGAGTCGCATGAAGGGTGCGCTGCATCCTGCTAAGGGTGCTCGGCATCTTGTGCTTGCTTCCTTGCGTACGGATGACAGCTGCGTATGACTCAAATTACTTTCTGGCGCGTTCACTTCCTGAGACAGTTATAAGCACTGTGTAACTGCCTCGAGGGTGCTTGACCATTT